CCCTGCTGTGTTACACGTCCTCCTCAATTAGCAGTGACAACATTGGTCTGGTCCAAAAAGAGAGAAAAATGAGCCCAAAGCTCAAGTCTGTAGTTTAAAGCTACAGACTACTAGAAAGCAGCATCTCCCCGCGCGTCTCTGTCCAGAAGCAGATTGCCTCACCAAACCGCTGGGCCCCTAGCCTGTATCTGGTCAATTTCCTCTTTTAATTTCTCGCTCACTCCTCCCCCACCAAACAGGTTCTGATTTATTTCTTCATTCCGCAGAGCCTCTCCATCTCCAGTCCTCCGTGGCACTCCAACATCCTGGAAAGGGGGCTCCCCACAGTAAAGTTTCTCCTTTTTGCAGCTTTTCTTTCGGACCCCCTTTTCCCTCTGGCTGTGCGAAGCCCCAAACTCCCCTGGACAGGCCCATCCTCCCCGCAGTCGGCGGCCGCGATCCCTACCCCGCTCTCACCCCCTGAGGGTCCTTGACGAAGTAACTGCCGCTGGAGCCTTGGTAGATGCGCTCAGGGAAGATGCAGCGCTCGATGGCCACCTCGGCCTGTCGCACCACCGCCTCGAACTCCGGGTCCTCGGGAAACTCGTTTCGTTCGCGGTGGGCCTGCGCGGCGTGAGCAGCTGCTGCGGCCTGGGCGGCCAAGGCTTGGGCCTGGGCGGCCACGGTTTGGTTCTGGCCCTGGGCCGCCGCACCCCGGGCCCGATCCAGCAGTGGCTGCCGCTCCCGGTCGTGGCCTGGCGAACCAGGCGGAGAGAGGGCCGGGCCGGCCGCCGCCGCCACTCGCACGGCGCCCCCCGGTACCTGCGGAAAGTGAGCGCCTGAGCCGGACGGAAAGGTGTAGTCCGGGGGTTGGCCCCGCTCCGGGGACACTAATGGGCTCGTCTCGTCCATTCCTTAGGCCGCCGGCTCCGGGACCCGGCGCGTTCCACACAGCTGAGCTCCGGGAGGGGACCAATCCGCAACACCCCCTACCCCCTCTTGGCCAACCAGGTCGCGGTGCCTCTGTGGCCCCGCCCCCACCTTCCCTGTTTACTAGGCGACGAGTAGGCACGACCCCTCGCGCGCCAACCGTAGCCAATCAGAATCAGCGCCTACGCAATCACGCCCTCAGTGGTTTTTGCTCGTCACCTTTTGTGTGGACTGCGCATGCTCCAGGAGCCAAGCTCAAATTAGACACTCCCTGAGCTCTTAGCTTTCAATTGCTGATCAATGTTTAGGAGTTTTCAATAAAGTAAGCCTGCCTAGTCAGTCACTAATTGAGTGCCTACTGTGAGCCAGCTGTAAGACTAGAGAAATCTGATCTTTGTATCAGAATTCATTCAATCTGGCACTCAGTCATTACATATTTGTTGAGCATCAACTATATTCTAGATGCTAGAGAGACAGCAGTGAAGCAAAGAAACAAAAATCCCTACTCTATCTAAATAAAAAGGTTTTTTCAAAATCCCAGCCCTCATGCAACTTACACAGTGCCTGGCACAAAGCTCAATGTTTATTTGTTAATCGAGGAAAGATATAGTCCCATTAGACTAAAAAAATTTGAGGTAAAAGTCCCTGACTGTTTTATTTATCACTGTAAAACCTCGTGCTCTACATTTTTATTAGTGGTAAAGAGAAGAATGAGTCCCTGCCCTCAAGCTGAAGACATACAAGTCTCTGAGGCACTGGGAGGGGAAGAGCCAGCAATCAGAGCTGAAAACTCCTTAACAGAAGTTCAGTGACTTAGGGATAGGCTGGAGAGTCAGTAAAAGCCTTAAGTGGGGCATGTCCTATGAGCTAAGTGTTGAAGAATGTACTCAATTAAATCACTGGTTTGTGGGGGAGTGGAGAGAAGAGGGAATCAGAGACATTTGAATTTGGAGTTTGAACCCTGGCCTCACACTTATTAGTGATTTTGTATGAGTTACTTAACTCTCTAAGCCTCAGTTTTCTCATCTATAAAATGGGAATAATCATCTTTTTAAATTGATTAAATAAGAATCATGATAAGTATGTAAAGAATTTAGCATAGTGCTTAGTACATAAAAAGCAATCAACAAATGATAGATTTTTTTAATCACTGCTGTGGTTATCATTGATGTTGTTTTTGTTTTTTTTGTACTTAAAGTAACCAGCAGAGAGAGTGTGGGTTTTCACAAGAGGTGACTGGCTACATTACATAGTAACCAATATTTCATAATCATTCTGAAGAAGGCTAGGGAAATAAAATGGAGTCAATATACTCAAACTGCTAAATTACTAAAAATCAAGTCAGTTGAGGCATGAGGAAATTATTCTAGTCTTGTTTCAACTAGCCTGGAAACTTAAACTTTTGAACTTTCCAGTCCTGCATCAATGCCTGGACATACACCAGATCTCCTAAGAATGCCTGAAGGACTCATGTATCCAGACTATGTGGCATAGATCTGACATCTATTATCCAGGCCACGGATGTGACCAGGGCTCCTGGCGCCCATCTTCTAGACCAGCTAGCATCCTCATCTGTATCTCCTGACATCTAACTGAATACTAACTACCTTGAGCCAATCCTAGGGTTAAGAATGCAAAATTGATTATTCTGAAGAATGTATTTTTCACTATAAAAACTTTTAACTTTTCTTAATTGTTTGGAAAGTCCTTCTGGGTTTTTGCCTAGTTATGGTTCTGGTTTGCAAACTCTAAACCTTTGAATAAATCTTTATCATTTATTTCTAGCCACAGCCTCCAAATTCTCTTTAAGCTCTCTTGACACATCTCTATTAAATCAAATTATTGCCACAGCTAACTAGAAGTACTGAATTGTTTAATTACATGTATGGGGATATCTTAAACATTTATTTTACCAAATAAACCATTCAACAAGGTCCATACAGATGATTCAATTACCCCTTTCAGTTACAAGACATATGTTTCCCTTTACTACCCAAACATCAAATAATTAAGTAATACTTGCTTCTTGTGTGCTGGGGGCCATAGCCACAGAGATGATCTCCTGGTATTACTCATCTTATTTAGCTCCTGAGCTTCAAGCTGTGGTCAAGGAGAGCTCCAGGATTTAGAGTTCTCCCCTGAATTCTGAGTTTTCTCTACGTAAAACCTTCAGAATTTGTTTCTGAATCCACCTCTTAGAACTTGACTTTCCTCTTATTGCAAAGAGTATCAATACATTATTTTAAGTGCATTACATGGATTAAGTCATGTAATCAGCATTACAGTTCCTATGATGTTGGAAACTAAGTAAAGTAACTTGCCTATCGTCATGAAGTAGGTAAGTGGCACAGCTGGATCCAAATCCAGGCAGACTAGTTCCATGCTTGTAACACTATATTGCTTCTTATTAAATACCTCTATGAAGCATTTCTTCTGTTTACCCTCTTTCTTTCCATCTGCACTGATGCCACATTGCAGGATGTCTTAGCTACGTTATTACTATGGCTTCTGAGTTTGTTTTTCTTCTTCCAATTTCTCTCTGATTATCTCTGGGTATGACTGCCATATTCACTTTATTAAAACACCAGTTTCATTGTGTCACTGTTTTGATCAAGATACTGCATTTTTACTGTTGTAAAATGTACATATTATCATTTTAACCATTCATAAGTGTACAATTCAGTAACATTAAATACATTCACAATTCTGTGAATGTATCACCACTATCTCTACCCAAAACTTTTTCATCATCCCAACAAAAACTCTGTACGCATTAACAAATAACTCCCTCTTCGTCTAGATCCTGGTAACCTCTATTCTAATTTCTGTGACTCTGAATTTGTCTATCCAAGAAACTACATTTTGCACACCACATCTTCCTTCTAATTCTCCTGGTCTTCCCATAATTTGATAATATATGAACCTTATTCATTTTTTCTAATATTCTCCAACCGAATAAAATCTATTTTCTCGACACTCTATTCTCTCAACTACTATAATTATAACTCTAGTCATTACCATACAGTTTATCATATTTAACATTGAGTGTTAGAGCCAGATCGAATCTCGTAGGTCTGCTAGTCCAATCTCATTTTACAGACTAGAAAGCTTAATAGCTTGCTTGAAGCCACACATAGTTGGTGGCAGAGATGGTATTTGAACACAGAATCCAAGCCTTATGAAAACTATTTAAAACTACCATTTATTGAGCATTCACAATGTCTCAGACACAGTACTGGGCATTTGACATTGTATTCTCAAACAAGTCCTGGGCAGCCTTTGTCACCATCATCATTCTAATTTTCTATCCTACAGATGAAGAAAAATCCCAGTTCAGAGAGGCAATTTCTTTCTTCATGCGTTTGCTTTCTCTCAATAATTAAATATAGTCGGATTTTTCCACGTGCATAAATCTTTCCATCTCCACACCTAGGCAGTAAGTCCCATGAGGGAAGTGATCATGTCTTTTCTAGCCTAGCAGAACCTTAGCATCATGCTGCATTCCCATTGTTCAGTAAATAAACAAATGGATAAACTGGTGTGCGTGGTATTTGAGAGGGTTTGCTTCAGTCTAGGGATCTGTGTCACGGCAATGACAACACATCCCTACAGTGAATGTAAAATTGTTTCGATATCACAGTGCCGGCAGAAGGTTGATACTAATTAAACTGCAAGTGCCCTCTCCAGCGCCATACAATTTACAAAGCTGCCCTTCAAGGGTCTGTCCTTAAACTCCGCAGCCGGACCATGCACAGCTGTAGAGATCGGAGCGGAATCCGAGCCACTGGAGTTGGTGGTCACTGCTTCACTGTTGCGTCTGACGCAGGTTTTGTTTTGTTCTGTTTGGGGTTGACGTTTCGGTTTTACTACCACCGGCTGGGGGAGGCCTGAGTGCTCCATCAGGATTGCCACGGTGGGATCGAGGGCTCAGCCCCATCTCTCTATCGGATATTCAGCCAGGAGCTCTAGAGACCCTGATCCCCGCACAAAGATGGTGCTGAGCCCGAGCTGAGCCAATGGGAAGTGGCGTTGCTCCTGGTTGCCTAGGTAACAACCAATGGGCAGCGGGAATTGTGCCCAGTGTCGCTGCCAAGGATGGCGGCGTTAAGTGGGACAGGAGCTGGTGGAGGTGGTGGAGAGGCAGGTGGCCTGGACTAGCCCGACGGATCTAAGGTCCCGGGCGCTGGAACCCCTCGCCAGGGCGTGACGGTCATCTCAAAAGACGGAGCCCAGGTTGTTTGGTGGTACTAGTGGAAGGGGGGCCGGAAGGGTGTGGCCAGTGAGGAAGGGGCTGAGGAGCCCAGCCCGAGATTACGGGCTGGGGACCGTGGCTACAAGACCGACTCGCTGACGGGAGGGTGGCTACCTGGGGTCCCAAACTCGGGTCTCTCGTTGCCAGCGCTACGGGCTGAGGCCTGGGAGAGCAGGCGGCACCCGGGTTAGTGAGCAGGGTGGGTGGGGATGGCAGAACTGTGCGAGCAGAAAGTCCCGCCCGGGCGGGAGAGCGTACTCGGGTAGAGGGCAGGAACAGTTGTAGAAGGCAAGAACGGGTGACTGAAGGAAAGGGGAGGTCGACAAGGAATTGCTGCCTTTTGCCACCTAGGGCTTTGTTTGCTTTGGGCCCGCCTCTCTCTCGCTGCGGTAGAGAGTCGTTCCACACCTCAAGGTTTGGGGAAATTGGGTGCCCTGGTTAGTTGATGGTAGTAGTAGCATCCCTGTAATCTAGAATGTCCAAAATGCTTTGGTATCAGCAGGAGTAATTGGGCTATATTAGAACCCGGACCAGGCATTTTCCTTAACCATGAAATGGATTAGTATCCTGGCAGTCCCCATCACCCCCAAGTCGTCTTTTTATTTTTATTTTTTTACCTTCTTACTTGGGTCAGGATTTTCTTTCTAGGTTCTTCAATCTAACTATCCCACAGGCGTCCTAACAGACGTTTTAACAAGTAGCAATACATTTGTTTACTTTTCTAGTAGAAGAGAGACTTACCGGGAAAAAAAAAAGACATAATAAAAAGTAATTTCAAGCCCATTTAAAACACTTTAAAAAGAACGTTTGAATTTTTTGTTCTAGGTTTCATCTTTGTTCATCAAAGCTTTCGTTTTCTTTTCTTTAGGATTCTAAAAGCCTAAGAACTGATTTTTTTAGACTTTTTAAAAAGATTTTATTCATTTATTTTTAGAGAGAGGGAAGGGGAGGGAGAAAAGAGAGGGAGAGAAAACATCAGTGTGTGGTTGACTCTCACTTGGCCCCTGCTGGGGACCTGGCCCCCAACCCAAGCATGTGCCCTGATTGGGAATTGAACCTGCAACTCTTTGGTTTGCAGCCTGCACTCAGTCCACTGAGCTACACCAGCCAGGGCAGAACTGCTTTCTTTATAACTGAAGAAATTTTGACAAGACTTAGGGGAGGGTAGCTCAGGAGAGGGGCAGTGTTGAAGGTATATGTGGGTAATTGAGGTTGCTGCCTCCCAGCAATGTTCCTAAACTGAAAATTTATTCCTCTTCATGTCAGTTTTTTTTTAATTCTCTGCCTTTGGACACAAGTTACTATGAATGCATACATATTTTTTAAACAAGTTTGAGTTCTAAAATTAAAAAAGACAAACAGAATGGAAATAACAATTATTCCTGTCTCTTACTTCTATTTGGAAATGTCTGGGTCAGACAAAAAGAAACAGCAAGGATATAGTCTGTTGTGCAGACCAGTGGTGTATTAGTTTACAGGGACAAAGTAGTTATTTCCTTTTAGGTGAAAGTTTGGATTGATTCTTTACAACCCATCCAACAAGAGAGCAGAAAGGGGAGGTATCTGTTTAGAAGAAGCATGAATTATCTTGACTTTGTGACTAGATTCCATATGTATAGCTGAAATCTAAACTGGTAGGCCATCTATTTTCTTTAGAAAGATTTTTTGAGTAACTGATAAAAATACTGATTTGCATTCTTTAAGTATTGGGTGTTCAGTCTTCATTAGCACTGACTGTACTTTATAAAACTAGATTTGTCCCAGTGACCATGGTAACTGGCGAAATTTTTTTCTGGGTCATTGGCTGTGCAGCTGAGTATTACTTAGCATAGCTATTTACAGAGGTCATAAATAAAAATCCTGGTACTGTCCCAAGCAGTGACAATATCAATTATTTGGATATAGGTAAAGCTTCTAGTCAAATGTGTTTAACCGTGGCCTTAGCCCAATAGAGTTGATGTGTATTGTCTTTAATAAGCACTTCTGACTGTCTTGGGAATGGATTTTATTTTGATAAGCAAGTATTGAATGAGGTTTGCTGTATCTCCCTAGATGAAAACAAGGAGGGGAAATTTGTAGTACAGTGTGTACTTTTGAAAACAGATGGCAGAGGGTGGTGGCAGGGTTAGGTCGAGAGTTGATGTTCTCTTTCTTTCCGGGACCTTCTCCCTCTGAAACAAGGTGGGATGCCACTATTTGGGAGTCTCATCGGGCCTTGAGAAAAAGTAAACCAGAGGCTTCTCCCCCCGCACTCCCTGTAGTCAGTCTGACGCCTCAGATTGCACTGCAGTGACTCCTTCCAAAGTTCTGGGTGAGGATAAGTTAGCTGCTGCCTGACACTGAAAGGAAATGCCCTTCTGTATAAGTAAGGATTTTGTGTTTATGTTTTGGAATGGTTGTTTAGTCATGAGATTTAGTAGAAGATACAATCTTTCAGATTCTTACTTGTTTTGAAGGAAGGAGATAGTTCAGATTTGTACCATAAGCTGACTTTTAGTACCTTGACTTAATTTGTTCCAGGGGGAGCTGAAGACGACCTCTAGCTATCACAGTTCCTCTCCAGCCTGGAAAGAGTTTTCTCCAGCAGTTTTTATGGAAAACGGTTTCTCTTCCTCTCATTAATGTTGTATTTGCACTGTCTGATGCCAGGCTGACGATAAGAGGATTGTGCACCTGAAATTGGATGCAGACCTTGTGGAGCATTGATGGAACAGAGGTGGCATCACCGCTCTGAGAGAATAGCCTCAGAGGTGTTTGAGGAGCTTTAAGACAAAAGAAGATGATCCTTTCCCCAGGCTGCCTTCTGTATGTGAGAGATGAAGTTTCTGAGTAATTAGACAAGTGAGAAAGTCCCTGATGGACCTGTGGGATGGACTCCCAAACATCTCTAGAGGCGCCTCCACAGAGCTGGCCTTCATTACGGGGGTAGGAATGACTGTTCCTCCGTGTTTGGGTGAAACCGCAGGGGTCTCAGAACTTGAACATCCTCTTGGCTGCAGAACCCATCTGTCCTCATAGCTGGGGTGAAACTAGAGCTCTGAGACACAGCCAGGGCCTGGAAGACGTGACTGGGCCCTGCTCCATTCAGGCCAGGCCGATTTCACGTCAGACCGTGTCTGGGCATGTGGCATCAGTGTCAGAAATTATCGTGACATAGGCCAAAATTAAAATATCCCATAGGGTATTGATAAAGAACAGATGGGTGGCGACTGTAGTTTGTGTTTTCTCTACCTAGTATTGACCTCATGAGTCAACATTGCTGACTTTTTTTTAATGCTATTCCAATTATGGGGGGTAGCATTTTTTTACTGAGACTTTAGAGAAATGTCCATTATAATAAGGGCGTGAGTTGATGTGTCTCTTTGAAGAGGAAAAGAACAACATTTAAAGGACTGGGCTAGATGATGTTCTAGGTGCTTTCATGTATGTTACTTCATTTAATCCACATGCCAACTCTGTGTAGTAGGTATATATCATCTCCACTTAATAGAGGAGGTTTATATAGACTGAAATTTAGAGACACTTAAATAAGTTGCCCGAGGTTACACAGTGAGCCAGGCTCTGGATCCGGGTCTTGGTGCTACCGAGGTCCACAGCAGCACCGTATTACGGTAGGAGGCAGCACAGGATAGGATAGTGTGGAAGAATGTGGACCCGAGAGCCAGCTGCCAGGGCTCTGATTCTAGCTTACACACGTTAGCTGCATGACCTTAGTTAACTTACCCTTGCTGCAACTCAGTTTCCTCATCTGTAAAGTGGAAATAATAATAATAGTGCCCACATTGTCAAGTTGTGAGATAAAATTAGATAATGTATTTTAAAAACAATTATGGTGCACACTAAATAGTCACTAAACGTTAGTTGCTGTTATGAAGATGTTTCAAATAGCTTTTCTGGGGCTAGCTCAGTTGATTGTAAAGGGTTGCGTTGGCTGACGAGGAGTATATATCTTAGCACTGTCCACCACCACCATTTAGAGAAAACAATGTATATCTTGTTTTAATTGAATGCTTAAACGTCATTTTTTAAAAGATTTTATTTATTTTTTAGGGAAAGGGGAAGAGAGGGAGAGAAACTTCAATGTGTGCTCGCCTCTTGAACACCCCCAACTGGGGGCCTAGCTGGCAATCCAGGCATGTGCCCTGACTGGGACTTGAACCAGTGACCCTTTGGTTTGCAGGTCAGCGCTCAATCCACTGGGCCACACCAGCCAGGGCTAAAGCATCATTTTTGTATAAAATATGCCAGATCCCTCTTGTACTGTCTAATCCATGCTTTCTAAGCTCATCTTGATTTTCCATAATGGACACATCAATATAAGACTTAACAGTGTGTGTGGTTTGGGCTTCTCTGGGACGTGAAGGAAAAGGAAGCTAGCTGGTGGCACCAGGCCCACAGGGATTTTTTAAAAAATTGTCCTCCAGGTTTAGCCTCTGAGTTCTGAATAAGAGGTACTCTTGTCCTGTTGGAACTCAGGTGCCTAAGGGTCAGACTCTGGGTTAATTATTAATAACGGGACCTTTCAGTGGTGATTTCTAGGTCAGAGAGCTCTTCACACACAGCATTTCCATATATTGGAGTAGGAGTCCACAGGCTTTCATGTGTGCAAGGATCTAATGATGTGCTGGTCAACACTGCAGACTGCCAGGCTCTAACCACACAGAATCTGATTCAGTAGGTCTGAGTGTGGGCCTAGCACTATGCATTGTCACAGTCACTTGAGGAGACATTGTATCATTTTGATCTGGAAAAGTAGCGAGGGGGAGTAAAAACGACCTAGGGGATTTAAAAAAGGAAATAGGGATTGCATTTTTTAAATATATCAAATGATTCTGTTTATCTCTATTTATATTTAATGATATTGTGGGTGTCTTAAATCCCTTTTTATAGTATACCCTTGAATACACACATTCTTTTACCACTCATCTGAAGCCGTACATCGTCAGTCTTCAAAACTACTGAGTGGAAGTGATGCTTCTTTTCTCCTATGATGTACCTGTCATCGTCATCCCCTCTGCTCCCTTTACTCTGCTGCCCCTCTAGCTCAGGTCTCAGGATCCCATATCTGGGAGTATCAGTTAGCTTTTGCTGGGTAATACATCACCCCAAAACACAGTGGCTTAAAACAGCTACCATTTCTTTAGTCTGTGAGTCTGTGGGCTAGTAATTTGGGGCTGGGCTCAGAAGGGCAGCTCCTCTGGTCCTGCCCGAGCTCACCAGGGCATCTGCGGTGAGCTCCGGCAGCTGCTGAGCTGGGGCAGCTGTGCCACGTGGCCTCTCCTCCTCTGGCAGACTGGCCTAGGTACGTGCACGTGGGCACAGCACAGCTCCACGTGCAGCAGGAGGGCAGCCCAATGTACGTACGAGTGCTTGTCTAACCTCTGCTGCATCACCTTTGCTGACGCGCCATTAGTTATATAACCCAGCCAGATCCAGTGGGTGGCGGAGTAAACAAACTGCCTCCTAACGGGAGGATGTGCCATGACACAGTGCAAAGGCTGAATGGGGGGAGAATAATTTATGCCGATTTTCACAGCCTGCTGAATTGTCACATCTGCCTTGCAAGCGTCTCTGGCTGTAGGTTTTTGCTGCTCCAACCCATTCTGCTTCCTGCTGCCAATTTCATTTTCCTTAAACTTTGCTTTCATCATATCACATCACTCTTCACTCCCCTTCACCCCCCTGAAGCTTTCTCTTTACTCACCTTATCAGCTATAAACTCTTCTGCTTAGCTGTCAAAGGTCTCTTATGCTTGCCTGACCCTAAAGTAGAGGGCATAGTACCTGGGAGAAAAGAGCCAGCAGGGCCGGGGAGGCCAGGGCACCAGCTCCAGCTTGGCCACTGACTAGCTTTTCACTTTCCGGGCTTCTGTTTCTCTGTCTATAACAAGAGGGAGTTTGGATTGAACCTGAGAGGTTCTTTTCAAACTTAAGATTTAGGCTGCGTGTACCTAGACAAATTTATTCCCTATTACTCCGTAAATATCCCTTCCACTCCAGGCAGACCCGGCTTCTTATTTTCCTCCTGCACATCTCGTGTTTACGTTGCTCTTTGCGCCTTCGTCCCTGTGTCTTCTCAGCCTGGGATTGCCCCTGCCTCTGCACTGCTGGTTTTCAGCCCAGCCAGCTTGGCACTTGACTGGTAGTCGTGCCAACTAGATTATAAACTCACTGAGGGAAGAGACCGCATTTTACACTGTGGTTAAGTGTATAGTAGGTGTCAAGCAAATGTTTGTAGATTAATCCTAAATTTCCATCTCAGGTCATAGAAAACTGGAACTGGCTGAAAATGTTAAAGACAAGTAGGAGGATAAGACTGCTTGGGCAGAGGTGGTGATGGTGATGGTGTTGGTTGGAGAGGTGGGTAGTTTCGTTAAATGTACTCAAGGTAGCACGCACGTAACTGAGCTGGACGCCTTTAGAATGTATCTACAGAGCTGCTCCGCAGGCCTGTCCTCCAGCCATCCCGTGACGCTGGTTCTCCTCTGCTTGTGTCCTGCAGTTTTCATCCTTCTGTACGCTGTCGCCATGACCCTGACAAAAGGTTCCTTCACCTACTCCAGTGGGGAGGAATATCGTGGCGAGTGGAAGGAGGGTGAGAGGACCCCGGGGGGTGCCCAGTGATGAACACTTCATTTGGCTGAAGGACAAATAAGCCAGCTTGATTCATCTTCAGGTCTAACTCCAAGCTTTAATCTGATAGTGCCTTTCCTTTATTTAATGTTAGGAGTATAAGTAAAAGAATTAAAAAATACTGTTGTTAATCTAACCTCCAGAAGTAAGTTAAATCTTTGTACTTCTTTTTTTTTATATTTATTTGTTTATTTTTAGAGAGAGTGGGGGAGGGAGGGGGAGAGAGAGAGAGAGACAAACAGAAACATCAATGTGTGGTTGCCTCTCACGTGCCCTTTACTGGGGACTTGACTTGGCCCGTAACCCAGGCATGTGCCCTGACAGGGAATCAAACCAGCAACCCTTTGGTTTGCAGGCTGGCACTCAATCCACTGAGCCACACCAGCCAGGGCAAATGTGCTTCTAAATTGTGTTTTAACCCTTTTATTCTTGAGTCATAGCATTTGGGAATTGTTTTTCTGAATGCTAATGTATCTGCAGAGTAAAATGAATTTAGTGTCCCTAAATCAGGAAATACAGAATTTATCGCAATGACTTGATTCCAGTGAGCCTTAAGAACTTAAGGAAATTAGGCCAGACACTCAAAAGCAAGTGACATCCATTGCCTTGAATTTCCTGTGGCAGTTCATTACATTTAGAAGTATCTATTCTTTGGAAGTTACATTTTTTCAGAGCCTGAGACTATACAGGAATTAGCTTAATGATGTTCAATTTGGAAACAGTCTGGCTACTTAAAAGTCCCGTGGGTCCAGTCCTAGCAAGCCAGGAACTACCCCAAAGAGACTCCACTCTACAGCTGTGCCAACGAAGAATAAGAACACCTCACGCTGTTCCCAGGCATGTGCAGCTGAAGAGTTCTGAGCCTTGAGAGGAGAGACTGCAGATGGGACGGGACCTTGCCTCTGTACATCTCCAGCCTTTTCTTCTGCCTCCCAAACCCCTGCTGTCCCCTCTAATATGACCTTCAGAGGAGAGACCTCCTGAGGCTATCTGCTGGGGAGGCTCTGTCCACCAAAGAACTGCCTCTGCTCTGCTGGAGGAGCATCACTGCCCCTCCTGTACCTCGCTGTTCATCTCGCTGTTTTCTGGTCAGTTCACTGGGTTAGCTCAGCTCTGCTCACATAACAGAGCTCAAGCCAGTGTCCCAGTGAGGCTGGTGGGTTTGCACAGGAGCTGCACGGTGCTAAGACGTGTGCTTTCATTCTTCTCAGAGTGGCAGTGTGGTTAAGAGTGGAGGGCTGTAAGGTCAGGCTGCCTGCTGTGTTTGCCTTCCTGCTCTACCACTTAATTGCTCTGAGATCTTGTGTAGTTGTTTAGCTTTATTTTGCCTTGGTTTCCACATCTGTTAAATGGGAATAATCATAGTACCGTGCCTTCCTCATAAGGCTGCCACAAGGGTTAAATAAGATGATAAATACAAAGTGCTTAGGAGAGTGCCTGGCACATGATAAAAGCACTACATGCTGTTTTAAAGTACGGTCCTGTCCTTCATACTGGAGATCTGCTCCAGATCTGACGGTTGTGCCTTGGGGTGGGAAGGTCGCAGGAGCCAGGCTGCTACTCTGGGTATTAGTTCTCTGCCCTGACAATGTCACCACTTCTCGTCTTTCCTTTGTGGGGGGTGATGGGAGGCAAGGGGTGTCGGACAGTGAGCGAGGACCCTGAAGCTGCCCCACTCCAGCTGAAACCTGTCCTTCTCTTCACTCAGGCCGCAGACATGGCTTTGGTCAACTGATATTTGCAGACGGCGGCACCTACCTGGGTCATTTTGAGAATGGGCTCTTCAATGGCTTTGGGGTGCTGACCTTCTCAGACGGCTCAAGGTGGGTACGGGGGCACTCTTTTCTCAGCCTTCAACTAGGGAGATTCTGATCCAAAAATGATCGTGATAGATCTCTGGTCAAACCAGAGCTTGTCCCAGGCCCTCTGAAAACAGGCAAGGGTTAAGCATTAGTTTTTTGTTGGTTATTTTATAAATAGATCTCAAATTTGAAGTGGCAAGCGATGAGTGAGCTTCTACTCCACCACTGCTCTGTTACCTCCTTGAGGTTAGGGCCTCACATCATACACACCCTCTGACCTCTGCTGGTTGGGCGTGGGGCGGGTGGGGCTCTGAGATACGGTAAGTGACGCCAGCTTTGCTCCTTGGCATTAGAAAATAACTCGAATTGGTAGCTGCTTGACTCAGTTATCCGTGACAGCTCATACTCCCCTAAGGGCTAACATCTTGTGTCTCTGCAGGTATGAGGGGGAGTTTGCCCAGGGCAAGTTCAATGGCGTCGGAGTGTTCATTCGACATGACAACATGACCTTTGAGGGTGAATTTAAAAATGGCAGAGTAGATGGTTTTGGTAAGTTGCACCCCAGCAGGATGGGAGACTCAGGCGAGGGTAGTGTGGGCGGAAGTACACCTTGTTAGCTTTAATCCTTGTACGGGTGCCCAGCAATCCATAGTGACCGTGCCCTATGGCTGCCTAGTCACTGACCTTACAGAGTACTCCTGACGGGGGCTGCGAGGTTTTCTCTTCCTCAGCCTCTAACTTCCAAGGTGATCTTTTCTGAGTCACTGATGCCACTGTCACTCCCATATGTCCTCTCCGCCCCTCAAAGGCCTGCTGACTTTCCCCGATGGGTCCCATGGAATACCCCGCAACGAAGGCCTGTTTGAGAACAACAAACTGCTGCGGCGGGAGAAGTGCTCTGGGGTTGTTCAGCGGGCGCAGAGCGCCTCCAAGTCGGCCAGGAATCTCACCGCCTGACGGGCGGGCGCTGCGGTGCACCAGCTGACAAGGGTTGGGTAGAGCCGCAGCCCTGTCATTCCCTCGGGGTGAACGGATGAACCCGATGTGAGAGGAGCTGGGATGACCTTGGAGCAGAAGCCGCGTGCTATGCCCTGCACCCGCCAGTCAGGGAGGGACGCGACCGCAGAGGAGTTCTGAGGACTCGGGCCGGGCCCGGGCCCTGCAGCGGTGGTGGTGCCAGGTCCGTCTCTCCCTCGTCTCACTTGTTGGTGTTCTCTGTCCAGCGATGACACCCTGGGTTACCCAGCGCAGACTTGCTGCTGCCTTCTACTCCCTTCTCTGCCAAGTGATGCAGAATCTCTCCATTCTGCTGATATTTGGGGCAGACGGTCCTAGCCCCAGACGAGGGCCAGGGCTTTGGGCTACCCTGGAGAAATACAGAAAAAAGTAGAGACTGCGTAGACAGTGCAGCCACCCTGTGAAAGTCCAGACCGGAGCTTTTCCGTCTTGCTCCCTCGTTTGCTGCTGACGGGCGTCGTGGCTCCAGGCTGCACTTGGACCAGATGGGTGTTGGTGTCTGCCTGTTCCCCCTGTGAGGGGTTAGGTGAAAGTGCCATTTTCCTTTCCCCGACTTTACAGGCTGTCTTCCTTACCTGAGTTCTAGCAGATACTCCCCATTGTGCCTCTCTCATTAGTTATGGGACAGGATCCCTTTATGGGATAGTCAAGGAAGAAACCAATGCAAACAGTTATCTTAAAAGTTGTATTTATTACTTATTCCAGGGCAAAAGGCAGGCCTGTTGGGGCTATCTGAGGCCCCGTCGTGGGGTGAACTGAATCCTTAGGGCTGACTCGGCTCCGTCCCAGTGGACCAGTAGTTTAGGTGCAAGTGGACCCGCCCGAAAACCCGTGCGAACTGAGCGAGCGCTGGCTCCTGGCATTTGGGTCACTGTAACTCTTCCACCATGAGCCTTGGCCATCTGGTGGGGGTCAGATCTTGACGGATAGGATCCTGCACAGGTCATCACAGAGGCCATCAGTTACCCTGTGATCCAGTCCCGCCCCGCCCCCAACCCCTTCCCCTCACACTGAATGTCTCCTCAACAGCAGATTGTGGTGGAAATTATAGCCTTGTGCCTCTGTTTATTCTCTGAATTGTACTGTAGAAACAAGTGTTTATGAGGAATAAACAAATCACCAGAACTGCCCATAGCTAGTTTTCTTGACTTCTTTGCTCTGGGTCTTCGTGGTTGTTAACCCATTTGCTGTTTCTAAAAATTAATAATAGAGGGGGCTTGGAGCTGACACTGTACATTTTACTACATATATCATCTGAGTCTCAAACCTCTGCACGGTAGGAGCATTTAAAAAAATCAGGTTTAACCAGTCAATGCCACCCTAGTATATTCAATTAAAGAAGAGTCAGGCTCAGGTTGCCCAGCCTGGTGGCAGAGCCGGGCGGGATTTGTTTCCAGGTCTCCCTGATTCTGAAGCACTTTCCCTTCTACCCGCCTCACCCCGTGCATCAGAGCACCCCTGTCCTGAGACCAGTCCCTGCCACACCTGCTGGCTTACCTCAGGCAAGTCACTCCTGCCTGGGTTTCCCTTTCTCTACACGCTCCCCTGCCACACTAACCCTGTCACGTGCCTGGTCTTCTGTAGTCCTGGGAGGATGGTGCTGTTACCATCCCTGTGTCACAGCTGAGGCTCGTGGCAGTTAAGGAGTTTCCCCAGCAGCGTCCTGTGGAGACTAAGGGGCAGATCCAAGAATGTCTGTGCCGCCTGTGTGAGCCCAGGGGCCGAGCACTCCACCAGTGCACTAGCCTGCCTCCCTCGCCCTAGCTTTTTGGCCCGTCCCTGAACTTGATTCTCCTCTGAGCTCAGATCCTCTAGAAGTTGCCTGTAAGGCGAGTCTAGGTGTGAAGCACCAAGCTTTGGTGCCGGCCAAGGATGCCAGTTTCAGTTGAAGATTGATACTTTTTATATTCTCTCCTAGCCTTTTTCCTAAGCAAGAAATCCATTTACCTTTCTTTTAACCAGAGAGATTCTTAAAAATTTCATCTCAGGTTTTCTGCTACTTGTCAGATATCACTGAGTAAGCTTAAACATTTTGGAGAAAGCAGCCGTGTTTCTCAATTGTCAGTAGAACATTTTTACCTCTCCCATGTAAACTGAAATAAGGCTTACCCTGAGGCTGTCACCAGTTTAATGCCTGTGTTTGCTCAGGGTTGTGCGGGTCTCTCTCAGAGCTGGGGAAAGGCTGGGGCCCGGAGTGCTAAATTTCTCGTAGGTACTTTCTTGACATCTGCGCAGGAAACCTAAGAACTGCGTAACAGTGAAGTATTGATCTCTACACAGCCACACTAGTTTAGCTTATTAAACTTTATTGCAATAACAAAGTAATTATTTTTAACAATAAAAGCACAGTGCCCATAGGCAAGAGGATGGATGGTCCTGTCTCAGACCAACCCCCTTCCCTAAGGTTTCAGACCTGGGTTGATGGCAACAGTCTTCCAGAATGTAACATTTATCCACTAGGTGTCATTATTTACCAAGCCTGGCTTGTCTGTGCACTTGATGGTTGAGATCAAATCCAGAGACAAGAATGTGAAATGAATCAAAATGGATTCAGAAAAGGGCACTGTGGCTGGAACACATCTTGGGGGGGTGCCTTTCAAAGACAAGTGACATTTTTCTGATCACATCCCCTGGAAAGGGTCAGAACTGGGTTCTTCGAGGAGCCCTGCCTCGCCCTGCAGTGTGCTAGAGTCAGGTTTGCACCCCCGAGTCTAGGTGGTCCTCCCTTCAAACACGCAGCCCTCCTGTGCCCGGCTGCCCCTGCCCTTCCCCTCTGGCTCCCGGCTCACGTGTCTTAGGCCGTGGGAATCCACGGTGGAGAGGCAAGTAAACAATTGCCCCTGCCCAGACTGAGGTCTCTGGAGACCCAGAGTTTAAGGCACAAATTCAAGGAGCCGTGGGGCTGTGGGAACAGGGAATGAGCGCATGTGGCTCCTGGTCCATGGCACATGGAGGACTGACTGCAGCAGGAAAGGGGCCTCTAGCTCTCGTGTCCCCTTGTTCCTCTTCGGGCCGCAGGTGCCAGTCAGGGGCTGAGGATGGGCTCCTGCCTGTCCCATCCTTGCCCTCAGAGCCAGCCATTGTTGGTGAAATCCATGCGCAGCTCCTCCTCTTCGTCAGGGCTCAGCTCCTGCAAGGGGGCCCTGCAGGGGCCTCCATAGTAGCCAAACCAGTCCATGGTTTTCTTCAGCCCCGGGATCCCGAAGCGCCGTGTCACCTGAGAAGCAGGGCCTGTTAGAAGAGCCTGGGGAACCCCTGCACAGAAGTACCCAGGACTCAGACATGGGTCACTCTCAGGAAGTTGGGGCTCTTGCCCTTCTCCCCCATTGAAATAACTCTGCCAAGACCACGACACCCAGAGTAGACTGGGAATCCAGAGTAGAGACCAGAAGGCAGGCCGGCTGCAGAGAACACAATGCTGAAACCTCAAATTAAGAGAGGTAGATGCCTTTTTTGGTTTTAGGAGAAAAATCCATCCCACATGGAGGAGAGAAAGCAACACTACAGGCTGGGTGCTGGAATGTGACCTGTCTATGGCCCATTCCCTGGAACCTGACTCAGCACGGCAGGCCTGGGAAGTCAGGCACAGCCAGACCGGCACTCCCTGCGGCAGGGTCCTCCCTGGCCCAACTCTAACTGCTCTCACGGGAAAAATAATGCATCTTTGTCCACAGAAATTTCATTGTATAAACTTTTATCATTAACTTACAAGCTCTGAACAAGTTCTCTTGCCTAAAACAATGAGAGGGCTGGGCACGGTCCCTGAGGTCTTTTCCATTGTCACAACGGACCTAAGGCTACTGTTGACTTAAAATCACGCTCAGAGTTTTACAGAAGATGTTGCATCAAGTGTCTGTGCTTTTAGCATAGCAACTGGTTATTTCATGCCGATCAGAAGTGATAGATGAATCTTTGAGTCCCTAAAAACTAGGAAAGTACTCATTACTTACTGACAGTTTTATTTGGAGGGAAGGGAAAGCCTTAGAAGTATGGGCTTCTGAAGGGTAAACAAACAAACAAACAAACAAACAAACAAACAAACAAAAGGTTGTCTGGGGCAAAAATGTTGGCAGCCTGATGGAGGAGTGGCTGATAACTATTCAGCACTAGAGGCCAGGAGGCCTTAGCAAGCCCCTTTTCTTCCCAGGCCTGGCCCCACCCAGCCATGATGTTCTAATAACCCAAGCATTTCACCCAACACCTGAGTAGAGTGGGAAAGACCTAGGGGACAGTGTGGACACAAGAAAGACCTAGAGAAAAGCTTTCTCCCACCATAGCAGCCTGGAGATCTCTGATCTGCCCCTGTTTAGACACTGAGACAGGGTTGGATGCTTTGGTGGTAAAGACTATGCAAAGTCCTAAATATAGCCAGGGCAGGAGCCTGGCTGGTGGGAAGGCGAGGAAGGACATTGTGTTCGAGCAGGGCTGGGAAATAAGGTGACATCAAGCTGCTCTTGGGGTGGCTGAGCCCACAGCCCAGGCAGCAGGAAGGTGTTCCAGGAATTCCTGAGCCTGTGCCCAGAGCTGGCAGAGGAGGGGCAGAACGCAGGGTGGGGCAGGATGGCACGTAGTGCGTCGGATGGCAGCAAGCATCCTCTCTTCCCAAGGGGCAGCCCAAGCTGCTTCCTCTATAAGATGACTTGGTGGCAACACCTGTCCCATGTCACCAGAATTGAATGAGAAAAATGTCACTCTTAGATCAGACCCCAAAAGTCCCGTCAAAGTGGTATACAGGTTCTGGGACCTTCTCTCTTGCAGGTGGATGGAAGTGGGAAAGCAGAGGTCCCACCCCGTGGACTGGCCAGTAGGTACGGTACAGCTGTGCCCGCTGGGACAGCGCCGAAAGGTCCTCATTTCTGTAGCTCTTACTTCCTATTTGCAGAGCATCCTATCCCAGAAGAACCTTCACATCCAGGTGACTCATGCTTGCCTCCTCAGCTGTCCTGTCTCTAAATCTGAGTTAATCTGCCCCTTGGAGGCAAAGACATAAACTGTGAGGAGAGCTGGAGCCTCCCATCGGTGTACTCAAATGAAAAACACAGCCTCGCTCAGCCTGGGACTCTGGTCTCAGATGCAAAACCTAAGGGGTAGGGATGCCAGAAAACGCAGTTGTCAAGGTAGTTAATGCAAGTTTTAAAAAATCAAAATCAATGCAAAAATATCCATAATGAATAAAGTGTCAAAGTTTTAAATGAAGACAGGACCCAACAGAACATGCCCTGCCATACATACTGTAGCCCAAGGCAAAATAAAACAACAAGGTTCCTGTATACCCTTCATTTTTAAAAAAGATTTCATTTACTTAAAAGGTTTTATTTGTTTGTTTGTTTGTTTTTAGAGGGAGGGGAAGGGAGGGAGAAAGAGAGGGAGAGAAACATCGATGTGCAAGAGAAACATGGATCGGTTGCCTCTTGCATGCCCTCAACTTAGGACCTGCTCCGCAACCCAGAATGTGCCCTGACCGGGAATGGAACTGGCGACCTTTCAGTTGGCAAGCCAGTGCTCACTCCACTGAGCCACACCAGCCAGGGCTTGTGCATTTTTTTAAAATTGATTTTAGAGAGAGAGGGGAAGAGGGGAGAGTGAGAGAGAAACATCTATTTGTTTTGTTCCACTTATTTATGCATTCTTTGGTTGCTGCTTTTTTGTGCTCTGCCTGGAGGTCAAACCCACAACCTGTGTATTTTTTAATGGTTAATTTTTTTCTAGATTTGGGGAAAAGTTGTTTTCATAACTTTGTTTCCATTCAAGCCAGGGAAGTAAAATTATAACAAATTATGTTTGGAGTGTAGATAAAATATTTAAAACTAAAAGAATGCTGTGTATGAGCTTTAACATACCTCCTTTTAAATTTTTCAATATTTTTAATGTTCTGGGGGTTGAAAAAAATCACCATTTAGAAAGTACTTAGAGCTTCTACTTCTAAGAAGATGGAATAGATGTACTTTTCCCCGTTCTTCCCAGTACATACAACTAAAAGTCCTTGCACGTTATATAAAAACAAGCACAACGAGACTCAGAAGTAGAGAGAAGGAGGACCGACTGGGGACCTCAGGACCCAGGAGCCATACAGTGGGGGGTCAGCCGGCCCAGCCGTGGAGCTGCAGGAGCCAGCGGCCCTGAAAGGCCA